TCCGACTCTAGGGCACGGTGCTCATCTCCGTTTCCAAGTCATAGAGCGAGCGTTTTGTCCGAAGGCAGTTTCCATGGTCACGTGGCTAGCACGACTAGACACGGAACGCCTTTACCTTCCCACCGAGGTGGTACCTATTTATCTATTCACATTTTTACATGCTTTCAAACTGCTAGGTTGACAGGAGCTGGGACAAGTGACGGGAGCTCACTCCGCTGTGTGGATTTGATCTTACGACTGCTTGGTCTTCTAACCTTGCAGCACAGAGGCTTCTGCAGTTTAACTTGCAGCGCCACCATGTCCCTTTTTTACTTCCACTACGCAGTTTAACTCGCAGTGCCACCATGTCCCTTTTTTACCTCCACTATAGAGGGGCACAAACCAGCACAATGGTGGTTTGTGATAGCTCGTGGTTCACCAGAGACCATGAACCATGGCAAATATTTAAAATTGAACTGGTTTGTTGCTATCTCTAAATGAAACTGAGCTACACAGAAAGACCCTCCCTGAGTTTCCCACCCTACATCCCCCATAATGGCCCCAGCACCTACTAACTTGATCTGGTCCTCCTCCTCCTTCCTTCTGCCATTGCCATGCTGCCCAGCTGAGTAGAGCAGCAAGCTGTTTGAGGCCTATATATCCTTGTGAGAAGTGCAGTTCTTTGAGGGTTCCCTGTATATAGCTCAATGGGCAAGTGAGAAGTGCAGTTCTTTGAGGGTTCCCTATATATAGCTCAATGGGCAGCAAAACTACATTTCCCACAATACCCTAAGACTCTCAGGAAGCTCTGAGGCAGAATGTAAACCCAGACAACCTACTGCCCTACTCAGCTGGGCAGCAGTGGGGTAGGGGAAGAGGTGGCCCAGAATGGGAAAGGTAGGTCCTGTGGCCCATGAAGGGGGCTTTTGGGGAAGGAAAATGAAACACCAACAATGAAAAAGTTCGGTGCTTCATTTCACTTTGTGAAAGCACAATTCCCCCATGAAACAAACCACAAACTGGGCCCAGTTCATGGGCTGTTTTTGGATCATGATTTGTTTTGTGCCCATCTCTCATTTCCACATATCATAGATTTGCTTGCTTTTGGTTCGTGATTGGTTATCTAGAGATAAGTATGGGCCTCATTTCCAGGTCTGATTGCTCAGGCATGGAATTTAATGGAATTATGTCCCTTGAGTGAAAATATGCTATCAGTTTTTATTTCTGAGATGGTGGTCTCATGCAGTTTGATCATTATTGTCTAGTGAGATCAATATTACTTAAGTTGCCACAAGCCATAGTTCTACAAGTTGGCTACTTACAGCAGAATTTAATTTTCTCCACTTAGGTTTAAAATGTGTTTCTTTTCCCACTTTCTGCTTTATGTTCTTTGTTGTTAATAAGGGGTTTATTTTCCTAGTTAGTGCAGTTCTACTGAAGTCACATAACTTTTGTTGGCAACACAGCAGAATTGAACTTTGGGGACAGAGAAATGAAGTCAGTCCAAGTTCATTGTACTATTTATCCTTGCACCAACCCGACAACCCCTGCTAACATTTCCCAGCAAAACATGCAGAATTGCTGGACTCTTCACTTGTCCAGGGCAAACATACTTAATAGTGAGTGAGTCCCCATTCCCCCGAAACCCCAACAATGGTGTTCTGGACTCTAAACATGGAGATACAGACATCTATAGAAGCTTTTGATACCTACTGTTAGAAACTAAGCCACCAACATATATGCCCTAGAAGCTTGAGAATCAGTGTTAGTTTTAAAAAAATTTCTTCTGAATACATTCAAGACAAAGTGCTATGAATCCAAGCTGGCTTAACTGGTAGATGGCATGTTGGAAGCAACACAAGTGACTGTTACTCTTCAAAGATAAAAACAATATACAGCAGCTCCCCTCAATCTGACTGAAGCTGGTGTAGATTTTGTCCGTGTGTAAGAGAAAGAGGGTGCTGAAGGGATTCAGTCATACTACAGCACCTCCATTCCACCCCACTCACCAGGACACAAGAGGCAAATTATTCACAGATTATGTTTCCATGCTTGCAAATTCCACACTAAGTAAGAAGTCCAGTTCCCATGGCTCAATCTCCAGATAACCTCACCTGGATGAGTGAAAATCTTCACAGATATATTTCCAAACTACATGTTATACTGAGATTTTCTATTAGAAGCTTGAGGGCACTTGTCTAGATTAAAAGCAGCCATGGGGCAAGAGATGATAAGACTAATTCTTGCCCTCCCACACAACAGCCCCAAATCAGTATCATTCACCCAGAGCTGACATCACCCTCTGTGGCAAAATGCATCTTTAGGAAGAGCGCCACAGAGAACAGACCCCTGCACCCAGGAGAAAGGATCTCCCACAGCCCCATAAGGGACATATTCTATTAGGGTCATCTACATCCCCTGCACCCAGGAGAAAGGATCTCCCACTGAATTTAAAACATGTAGTACTACAGGTAGACATGCCAACCCAAAGTTTTAGAATCATATTTGTGATTGTCATTTGGGGAAGAAACAAAGCTATGCTATATCAAGTAAAACCTAGCATCAAGCTAGACAATACAGTTAGCATTTATGGGAAGCTGGAGGTGGTCAAACAGGAGATGGCAAGAATAAACTTTGACATCCTGGGCATCAGTGAACTAAAATGGACAGGAATGGGCGAATTCAGCTCAGATGATTATCATATCTACTATTGTGGGCAAGAATCCCGTAGAAGGAATGGAGTAGCCCTCATAGTCAACAAAAGAGTGGGAAAAGCTGTAATGGGATACAATCTCAAAAATGATAGAATGATGTCAATACGAATCCAAGGCAGACCATTCAACATCACAATAATCCAAGTTTATGCACCAACCAGCAATGCTGAGGAGACTGAAATTGAACAATTCTATGAAGATTTACAACACCTTCTAGAACTGACACCAAAGAAAGATGTTCTTCTCATTCTAGGGGACTGGAATGCTAAAGTAGGGAGCCAAGAGATAAAAGGAACAACAGGGAAGTTTGGCCTTGGAATTCAGAACGAAGCAGGACAAAGGCTAATAGAGTTTTGTCAAGAGAATAAGCTGGTCATACAGGAGCTGGGACAAGTGACGGGAGCTCACTCCGCCGTGTGGATTCGATCTTACGACTGGTTGGTCTTTTAACCTTGCAGCACAGAGGTTTCTGCAGTTTAACTCGCAGTGCCACCATGTCCCTTTTTTACCTCCACTATAGAGGGGCACAAACCAGCACAATGGTGGTTTGTGATAGCTCGTGGTTCACCAGAGACCATGAACCATGGCAAATATTTAAAATTGAACTGGTTTGTTGCTATCTCTAAATGAAACTGAGCTACACAGAAAGACCCTCCCTGAGTTTCCCACCCTACATCCCCCTTAATGGCCCCAGCACCTACTAACTTGATCTGGTCCTCCTCCTCCTTCCTTCTGCCATTGCCATGCTGCCCAGCTGAGTAGAGCAGCAAGCTGTTTGAGGCCTATATATCCTTGTGAGAAGTGCAGTTCTTTGAGGGTTCCCTATATATAGCTCAATGGGCAGCAAAACTACATTTCCCACAATACCCTAAGACTCCCAGGAAAGTCTCAGGCAGAATGTAAGCCCAGACAACCTACTGCCCTACTCAGGTGGGCAGCAGTGGGGGAGGGGAGGAGGTGCCAGAATGGGAAAGGTAGGTCCTGTGGCCCATGAAGGGGGCTTTTGGGGAAGGAAAATGAAACACCAACAATGAAAAAGTTCGGTGCTTCATTTCACTTTGTGAAAGCACAATTCCCCCATGAAACAAACCACAAACTGGGCCCAGTTCATGGGCTGTTTTTGGATCATGATTTGTTTTGTGCCCATCTCTCATTTCCACATATCATAGATTTGCTTGCTTTTGGTTCGTGATTGGTTATCTAGAGATAAGTATGGGCCTCATTTCCAGGTCTGATTGCTCAGGCATGGAATTTAATGGAATTATGTCCCTTGAGTGAAAATATGCTATCAGTTTTTATTTCTGAGATGGTGGTCTCATGCAGTTTGATCATTATTGTCTAGTGAGATCAATATTACTTAAGTTGCCACAAGCCATAGTTCTACAAGTTGGCTACTTACAGCAGAATTTAATTTTCTCCACTTAGGTTTAAAATGTGTTTCTTTTCCCACTTTCTGCTTTATGTTCTTTGTTGTTAATAAGGGGTTTATTTTCCTAGTTAGTGCAGTTCTACTGAAGTCACATAACTTTTGTTGGCAACACAGCAGAATTGAACTTTGGGGACAGAGAAATGAAGTCAGTCCAAGTTCATTGTACTATTTATCCTTGCACCAACCCGACAACCCCTGCTAACATTTCCCAGCAAAACATGCAGAATTGCTGGACTCTTCACTTGTCCAGGGCAAACATACTTAATAGTGAGTGAGTCCCCATTAGCTTTTGTGGTCAGTTATCAAGAGGGAAATCCTTATTAAGATTTTATGACAATGATACTAAAACCTGAATAAATATGCATAGGACTGGCCTTTAAGAAAGATAAAGAAATATTGCTGATTTTGGTTACAGTGAACTTTATGTATTTTACTTAATTATACATACAAACTGCTTGGTGTGTTGTGGAATTGTCATTTTGTTTCACTGGCATGTAAGTATTAAGCATCTCTTGTTTCAACTTGCAGTGTGTACCTGACATTCTGCTGTTACCACAAAAATATATACATTTTTATTGATGCTACAGTGGCCATGCTGGATAGGGGATTCTGGGAGTTGTACTCCAAAAATTCAGTTTTTGAGAATATAATTCTCCCCCAGTCAGCCCTGGAGAATTGAGAAGCTCTATGAAACAGCATGGGAGGCGATGCAACCCAATGACTGCTTCATGTCCTCAAGGACTAGATTCATTCTCCACTCCCAGTGCATACTGCTTGTGGTCCTCTAACATCACCCACAGGGGGCGTTTTTGTTCTAGTGGATGATCAAACCTCAAAAGCATGAGAAGTCAGAGACCGTATTGCTCCCCTTCCCATACCATTTTCTGCAGACTCTTTCAGCACTTTCCCATGCTGCATTGCGAGCAGAACTCAGAAGGTAGCAGTACTTGTCTCGGATTGTCCAGCCTGAAGGGCACCTCCTGGATTTAGCTCTCTGAAAAGGGAAAAACAAACCAATCACAAGCAGATCACACCTGTCTCGTGACTACTTGTTTGATATTCAATGACAACAATATCCAGCTGTTAGTTTTAAAAAAGATGAGGAGTATGAAGTGGCACATATGGTTTCTCAGACGATGCTTGCCGTATTATATGCTTCTTAAGACATAGGTCTAGGAGCAGCTTGCAGATATATGAAAAGCTAACATGCAAATTGGCTGGCAAGTCTCTTTGACTTCTGAAAACTTGCCAGCCAAACAGTTGCCTAGAGTGAACCATCAATGAGCATGATGCATTCCCTAGATTTTTTATGTTAATCCATAAATAAATAAGTAGATAAATGCATGCATACATGCACACATACATACATATTATCAGAAGCAATCAAAAAAAGAGTATTTATGGAAAAGGAATAAAATACATGCTACTCTACTGTTGCTGAGATAGCCCCTTCCCTGTGGTTGTATTTCAACTGAAAACAACAACAACAACAACAACAACAACAACAACAACAACAACAACAACAACAACAACAACAACAACAACAGCAACAGATCCATAGACTATTCACACATCTCCTTCCTCTTTTTCAATTTGGCCTTTGTGGTACAAGTATTCTTTTCATCATTCCACAGAACTCACTGGAATCACTTTTGGCGAAACATGCATAGGAATAGGTTGTATTCCAACACCTTTGTTCAGGCTTTAGAGGCTCCTTAAATCTCAATGCACAAAACATCTAATTATGAGCAGAGCTGTATCTCTAGTGACTGGCCATTTCCTAGCTCAGAAGTAAAGGTCAAGACATTTTATTCTGCTGTAAACCAAATTACAATTTGATCTGGCTGATGAGGAACTGGCATGCAACTCTCCCACAATAGTATTTGTTTTCACCAGTGGTTACCAAGGTTCGGTCCCCAGATGTTCTTTAAAACTCCCAGAAGCCTTTGCCACTAGCTGCGCTCGCCAGGATTTCCGGGAATATTGCAGTCCAAGAACATCTGGGGATCTATGGTTGGAAACCACTGCTTTAGACATAATTTCATGACAGAATTCCATGTGGAAAAACAAGTCTACCAGATTCTAAGCAAAGGAATGACCAGACCCAGAATCTATAGATATGCACTTCAACCCAAATTTTAGCAGAAATCTCATGTCTACAGCTTATTGTTGCTCCCTAGGACAGTGGTTCTTAACCTTTGTTACTCGGATGTTTTTGAACTGCAACTCCCAGAAACCCCAGCCAGCACAGTTGGTGGTAAAGGCTTCTGGGAGTTGCAGTCCAAAACTCCTGAGTAACCCAAGGTTAAGAACCAGTGCCCTAGGATGTCCAAGAAAGGCCAGTAATTAGTTAACAAGTTGATTTTTTTGCACTCCAAAAATGCTGAAGACCCAGTGTTTTAACCATTAAGTTGTAGTTAAAACCTGAGAAATGTTAGCAGTATGTGACAGATATAAATATGCATGAAAAATAAAATATCAGTGTGGTGCAGCATTGTGTTTTTGATGCGGATGGTCTGATAGTCACTTGATGGCCTTCGGCATGCCACCAAATCTCAGTATACCTTTGCAAAGATAAAATGAAGCAAGACAGAAAGTCCCTATACTTACTATGTATATATAGCATTTGTTATCCTTTTTATCAGATTCTGGGCCAGGAGAAACAAGGCATGGAATCCACTCTGAAAGTATTAAATTGATCTTGCACCTTAGAAAACATACTAATGCTTTCATTGCAGATTAAATTTGAGTTCTGATTAATTGAGGACCCAGTCTTTGTCTCCAGTGATGCAATATAATGTGTAGGGAGACTCTGAGGCACTGCCAGTAGATTGCCCTCAAAACATTCTGCTATGGATTTATAGCCTTGACATAATTGTAAACATAGTAGTACGGCATATCAGCATTCATAATATGCACTCTGTTATTAAGATATATATCTTCCCTTCCCTAGTCAGTCATCTTCGACCCACCTGTAAATTAATTTTACCTGTTTTGTGCCTCTTTGTGAAGGGATCAGTTCACTCCACACAGCCAAGTCTCTCTGAGGAAGGTCATGTTTGTTTCCTAGGCGAAAAGATGAAATAGACAAGGGCTGTTCTGCAGGTGTCCCAATGATAGATGGAAGAACAAAGGGATCTTCATCTGCTGGTGGGCCAGCACCTTGGTCCTGGAAATTATCAAGAAAAATTAAGGATGAGGATACTGATTTCTAACATTTTCTCAAAGACTAATTTGCACGTTTGACTGCCTTCTACATCGTAACTAAGACAAACTGGAGACCTGCCTACTTAATCTTCCTGTGATGAAGATTCTTAGTTTCCTCCTATTACGATGGAAAGATAATTTGTGGTTCTTTCACATCTTTTGCAGTGTAACTGTAACTTCTGAGGTACTTCTATAGCTGAAGTTGTAGTCTCACTAAAGAGTGCAGTTGGACTCTTATGTGCTGTGGCCCATGTGCTGCCTTGTGCAACACTTTGTGCTGCTGAATGAAAGGCATTCAGACTTTTAAAGAGTAATTTGAATAATCTACTTCAGTGTTTCCCAGCCTTGGGTCACCAGATGTTCTTGGAATAAAACTCTCAGAAGCCTTCAGCGCCAGCTGTGTTGGCTAGGATTTCTGGGAGTTGTAGTCTAAGAACATCTGGGGACCACTTCGGAGAAATGGGAGACGTGTAATCTCCCATTTAAATTCTGTAATCCGTCCCCACCATCATTTCTTCGTTATACCCACCAACTCTTTTCCCAAGTAATTTATCAGACAAGTGTCTGGGAATCCAAGTTTACTAACATGGACAACAGGGAAGGGGGAATTACTTAACACCGTTATATACTGCTGAGTAAAATAAGATCACCATTTTAATTAGCAACTATTGTTAATCTTTAACATTAGACAAGGAGGTACTGGAACTTGGAATGTTCGTTGGCTCAGCGACTGGGTTCACAAGAACCTTTGCCTCTGTATTTTTTTAAATGTGCTGTCAAGTCAATTCTAACACGATGACCCTTTTCAGGGTTTTCCAGGTAGAGAGTACCCAGATGTGGTTTACTATTCCTTTCTTTTGGGGGCACCCTGGGACTGTGCCGCTTGCCCAAGGCCACACAGGATGGCAGTTCTCTCAATTGGCACAGTGGTGAATCGAACTCCCAACCTCTGCCTCCACAGCCAGATCCCAAACTCACTGAGCTATCCAGCCAGTCCTTGCCTCTGTATAGTCCTCTTTAAATATTCTTTATTTTCATTAAAAAAAATTACTTCAGAATATATGCCCTTAAATGAGTATGGCATTTCTTACACTATTCACTTCTATCTAGGACTGTCACATTCTATCCCTGTTCAGTGTAAAAGCGTCCCCTCGACTGTAGGTTTTGAGGAGGACTAATGGCTAGCCAATTTTGGGTAACATCAGAAGCAAGGGAAATTGCCATTTAAAAGATATTTCTGCTTTCATGTCATTTTGAGCAGGCACTGTAATACTCTACCCTAGTCCGAAATGCGGTGGGACCTGAAAACTTCTATCACCTTTGAAAACTTTACTTTTGGGAACTTCTCAGGTTACTGACTGAATGTATAATGTGGTGGCTGCATTTCTGCCATCATGGAATTATCTTAATATGTGCACACAGCAAAGAACACTCAGCTGTCACACTGAACTGCCTTTACTAAATGGTCAGATGTTGATTCCGTAATCCCTATTGTGCTGGGCTCATGTAGTGGCCGGGGGAAAATGACAAAGGAGCAGAACTTGCACCAGAGTACCAGTGCTAATAAGGTAAAGGGGTGTTTAATGACCCCCCCACCCAGTCCCAGAAGGTTTTTCTTGTGCAAAGAATAACTTCTTTGACAGTACAGCCAAATCAATGCTGTGCAGCCATTTGCTCTAGTAGTGTTGTCTTTGCTTGGCCCGGCTATTAGCGACATGTACTTAAAATGATATACAAGCATTGGTAAAATCATTTTCAATCATAAAACACAAGTACTAATAATATCAAAATAAAACCATCTCCCTATTGATGGCACTATATGTGGGAGAAGCAGGTTTCATTTTGGCAAGGAATGAGTCCTGAAAGACACTTTTAGAGCATTACTTTCATTGCTCTTTTTCATTAGCAAGTCTTCCATCCTTTCCCATTACAACTTTTCTAAGTAGTTAATTCACCCAGAAAGGAATTATAGTGCTTTATTTTGCAACATCAGCAGGAAAATGGAGTGTTATTAATAGAATATCTTTTCATTCTTTGCCCTCATGTAGTGGAGAAGGGAAAGTTATTTAATAACATTTTTTTTCTCCTGAAGGAACATTACCACTGGCTGTTTTACTTCTGAGGGGGAAAGGGGTGAAAATGTGTTTGGCGATGCTATAAGCTGCTGTAATTTAGAAAGGGATATTAAAGTCAGCAGGGCTACCTCATTTTACATCTCACAAGGAACTAATACCATATTTCCACAGACTTTTGTAGTTTTCAGGAAAAAAACAAACTATTCTTGGTTTAAAACAATTAAAATTCAACAATGCAGATAACAATTAAAATAGCTTATAGCTCTCTTCATGATAACCTCTACATAAAATTGATAATGCTTTTTATAGAGCTATGTTTTATCTGTACATATACCATCAGTGGACTATGTTCAGTGGCTTGAAGCTTTCCCTTAAGTTGAGCACCAGAAGGAGCTGAGGAATTCATGGCTACATGATCAAACAGGTGTCCAATCTGAGGAACATCTCCCATAGGAGAAGAATGATAATGAGGATAAGGAGGATTCTTATTGTCCAAATGCCATGCTTCGCTATGAGTGTTTCCTTCCTTGCTATGTATGAATGCAGAGCCAGTAGGTAATGGGCTTTCTGTGACCTTGCTAGCACCCTCCAGTACTTCCCGAGTGTCACCAGCTTGGAAGATTGTAGGAAAATCACAGTGGCCTGAAATGAAAGAATAGATATGACTGAGTACCAAATAGCTGATTGGTGAAGGAAATGAAAGATTGTTGTTGTGGGTTTTTCGGGCTCTTTGGCCGTGTTCTGAAGGTTGTTCTTCCTGACATTTTGCCAGTCTCTTCAGCCTCCGCAAGCAAATCTGTTTTTGCTTTGATGCCCCTTTGGTTAGGATAATATTTTAAGAGTGGAAAACCTAAGTAGTTCTGCTCTGTTATGTGGCTGACAACTCCCTAGTACCCCATAGGCAGCTTGCTGCCTGGTGGTCTGCAATCTTTATAAACCAAGGTCAAATCAAAAATAAACCACAAATGAGATTAATTTTGCAATCTCAGCGTAATCTTCAGAGAACTCATTTCTGAGAGGGTTCAAAGCCAGAGGCTGCAGACAAAAGCCCAAAACAACAATGCTGCTTTTTGTGCCAGGGCAGCATCTTGCTCTCCAATTCATGACTGCAATGTCAGCTCCGGTTTCAGTTACCACTTTAGGAGACACAAGGACAGGAGGGGGAAAAAAAGTTGCTGAAGATAAGGACAGTGGTGCAACAAACAAGGTTTCTTCCTTAGCAACCTACATGAGGGAAACGCAAAACATTTAAGAGCTGGAAGGTATTTTAAGCGAGGAAAAGTCTTGACAGGAAAAAGAACGAGTTGGCCACAGGGTGTCACTCTTGACCCAGATTTGGGTCAGTTTATGTCATTGTCTGAGAGAGGGCTTCCAGAAATTTGGTTTACGAATCACCAGGCACTCTGGCTCTTCACAGTTCAACAGGGTGCTTCATCTTGGTTTTTAAAAGTATATATTCAACCAAAGAACAGACTTCCCACTATTTGTCAGTCTTCACTGCATATTCTTTTAAACTCCGCACTTAAATTCAGCTAAATCAGGTGTTCATCATTGTGATGAACACCTGAAAGCATATTTTAAAAAAGGCAGATTTTGAAAAGAAATACATTTTGTCCCTGAACGTAATTCAACCTGAGACATCTTGACAGTCAGAAGTCCCTGGTGCAGCCGCCCTTTCTTTCTTAATTCAATTATAAGTGATCTCTATTAGAAGAAACACCTGGATCAGCAGCCATCCAGTACCCTTGGCTGAACCGTAAGGAGTGAGAGAGAGAGAGAGAGAGAGAGAGAGGAAGGAAAGTTATTTTAGGTATCGATAGAACTCAGGTGGTTTAAATCTGGAAGAAGAAAAATGGTTACTCTGTTTATCATTTAATCTGAAGATGCTTTTCCTAAGAAGCTGTTTTGGGGAAAAAATAATTGAGAATGGAAACATACCAAGGGCTGTTTGGATAAAATTGATTCATCCAAAGAGCAACTGTAGGAGGAAACACCAAATTAAGCTTCAGATTCCAAAATCCTAGCTCAGCTGAATGAAGATGAAGGTGATGGAAAGGGACAGAAACATGCTAAACTTTGGAAGAAAAATATTCCTCCTTTCTTTGGATAAAAGTGTCTTTTGTTTTGGAAGGCTGTAGGTCAGTTGCAAAGCACATTACTCAGCATGCAGAAAACCATAGTTAAGATCTGAATCTCATAAACTGGCTCTTGGAGAGAAATGGGTGTGCGCATGATTAGTTTTGTTACCTTGCAGCAAGACTTCTATGCCTGAGATTTTCTTCTCCTGAGATATCTAGTGGGGAATTTTTGCAGAATTTCTCAGAAGTTTTGGAGTAACATTTTCTATTAGAAAAGAAAAGCTCTGCAGGATTGTTAGCATTCCTATGCAGAACATCATCATACAGGGTTCAACAAAAAAGTCACCAGTGTATGCAGAATTCAGCAGGTTCCTGCACAGGACAATGGGTGAAAAACTCAGGAAGAAGCTAGGGTCTTGTTTTCACCCAAAGCTAATGTGGGGGAAAATCTCATAAGGGAGTCTCAAATGACAAAATTTTGTGAGTACAAGAAATTGGTGAGTCCAAGCACTTGCCACAACCCTAGATTATAGGTTTAATCCCCAGCAGCTTCAGCTAGAGCTGAGGATGAATCCTGCCTGAAATCTCAGACAGTCAATGAGAGACATTGTCAGCAATGCCAGTATCGGCCAAAGTCAATGATACAAGGCTAGGTAGAACACTGATTTTACTCAATGTTCAAGATAGGCATAAACTGCCAGTTCAGCTGTTAATGCTTGTTCATGCTTCAGACAAATGGGTGTTTGGCACTTTCCAGCCCCACCTCCCCTGGTGGGCACCCACTCAGAGTCAACGCCCAGAGGAGGCAGGGCAGGGAAGCCACAGCACTGCTTCCAAGTGGGCACCTGATGGGGGAGGCAAGGCTGGGAACTGTTGAACACCTGTTTGTCTGAAGGATAAACCAACACGAACCACTGAACCAGCAATCACAAGGATACCATGGCATTGAAAACCACTACAAGGTCCAGCAGAAGTAACAGGGACACACTCCCCCTGTCTAGTTCCCAGCATAGGTCATCCACCAAGTCAACCAAAGCAGCCTCAATCTCATAGGCAGGCCTGAAACCAGACTGAAATGGATCTATAAGCTGTTTCATCCAGGAACCCCTGAAGCTAAGAAGTCATGACCCCGTTCCTGCACCTCGCTCAAGAATGGAACCTTAAGAGATTGGTCAGCAATTATTGAATATTCTGGAATCCAAGGAGTACACCATAAGTTTAACCCCTACGTTACTCACTGCAGGAACTACCCTCTATCTATTTGATAAAACGTCTATTTTATAATGCTATCTTTAAAATAAATTCTCACTTCCCTTCTCTCAATGGAAGATAAAAGTCATATTTCTTGGCAGAGATCTTTCCTGTCACCCACTACTGATCACTTTTAAATAGATGTGCAAGGATGGAACCTGGAACCTTAAAAAAATAAAGCATGTGTTCTGTCTTTGAACACATCCTTGCCTTCACTTTCTTCCATTGTGAGAAAGTGGTTTGCCTCATGAGGAGGAAGAGGCAAACTATTCATGATGGTCTTCTTTCCCATCCTCATATCCACAATTTCAAACTGGCTCTGAAGGCATGGTAACCATTGCTTCACTGTTTGTCATTTTCAGTGACCCAATAAAGGTATTATTCTGAATTTTGTCACTCCTCGTGGATCATACAGCTCCTCTACATTGTGTCCTCTGATGGATGAATGCATACAAAACCCAATTTACAATCATTGCCATGCTAGTATATTCAGAAACTTGTTGATCCAAGAAGAGAAGGTCTCTTCATGCTGAATGTGGCACCTTTCTGCACCAGAAAAGGGAGATCTATGGAGGCAAGGCCTGACTTACCAGCCCTTGGGTCTAAAATTTTAACTGTCACTTCCCTCTTGTGTCCCAAGACAGCATTTTTAGGCTTGTTCAGTATTATTTTAAAAACTTCATCATTTTCTTCCAGGCCATCATCCTGAAGGAGAATATTCCAGATCTTCACGGAAACACCTGTTGGAGGCATAACATCGAACAGTCTTAGAGTCCTACATGAAGTGATTAAACAGCTTTCAAACTGTTCTGACACAGAACTGCCAGATTCTGCAATTGTACTTTCAAGAAAAATGATCATCTGTGAAACACTTCAGTTAAGATGGTTATATTTCTTTTGTACTTGTGCAGTTATCACCAGTGGTAATGCCCCAGTAGAATGCTACAAGTCCTGAAAATTCAACCCATCAGCTTTTTGGCTGCCTTCCTTTATACAATGAGCGTACACATACCGGCTCATTAACACTACAAGGCATATTAACCCCTTAAGATCAATAAATCATCTGGTTCCTGACATAGTTTGATGGCTTTGCACAATTAGAAGTAAGAAGTCAAGCTTATTCCCTGGTGAACAATAATCCACTGTTATGTCAAGCACGGTTAAGGTTTCCAGCGACCTTCACAATTCATGTCCCTCCAGAAATACTGTACCAGCTGGGCTTTTGCTTTTATGCTACAATTACACTTATGAAATAAAAAATTCACTGGACAGATCATTTTTATGGAAGGCTACAGAGGAAGATTTTGCTAGATTCCAAACTGGCAAAGAAGGAAAGCAAGAAAGTTCTAAATATCAAGGATGCCTCGGATTTAAATGGTCTTCCTATGGATGATCATTCATTCTGCCTGGCGAGGTCTTTTCCATGCCTGGATTTCCCAGTTTTCTGAACATAAGCCCCTTGCATTCTGCAGAATAACCATCCAGCAAATGACTTTTGGATATTTCTAAACCCAAGTTCTCTAATATGCTATTGTCATGAAGGATTCTTACAGCCTAATTTTCAAAGCACAATGCTGGCATCAATTACACTGAACAGAATCAGGCAAGCACAGTGGGAGCAATTTTAGGATTGTAGGATCCAGATGAAGTTTTATTCCTATCCTGGGCTCCAGTTCAACAAAGTACTTAACCACATGCTTAAGTCCTATCAGGATTTTGCAGCACCAAGTATATATATTTACTTATAGTAAATACAGAGAGAGTACAATACATCTCCAAAAACAATGAAATCATATTACAAAGAAAACTCTTGCAAAAATAACAAAAAAGTTTTCAGCACTTCTACATTGCACATCAATGAGCAATTGCAAATATCTCAGAACTCTGGAAGAAAGAAGCCATCCGGTCTTTTTTTGCCTTCCTTTTGTCTTGAATGCACAGATTTGGCAGGTAAGTGATTTATACTGCCAAAATACTCATTTTTGGACTATAATCGAAAGGACAGAAGGCATAGTTATATTTTCCTTGCCCATTTTTGGAGCAGAGAAACCTACCGTAAGGCAGAAATATTTCCTAATGAAAAATAAAGTTGCTTACAGGATCATCACAATAGTTCTTGGAAAGTCAAAGCTTATGATACCTTGGAGGTCTATGCTGGATTGCCCAGTGTTTGAGGTTTAGTTAATATTTGTGCCTGTATTTTCTTCCCTATGGAACCATTGTGCCAGAATGGTTTAGTAAGGGAAACTAGCATGGGAAAGAAGCTAAACTTGCGCTCGTAATTTCTAGATTAGACTACTGTAACGCGCTCTACGTGGGGCTTCCTTTGAAGCTGATGCGGAAACTTCAAGTGGTGCAGAGTGCGGCGGCCAGACTCCTTACTGGAGTGAGAAAATACCAGCATATCTCTCCTACTCTGGCCATGCTGTACTGGCATTGACTTCAAAGTGTTAATGCTTACATATAAAGCCCTAAACGGTTTAGGACCTCGATACTTGGCGGAACGCTTACTCCCAACTAGTTCTACCTGTGTCACCCGTGTGAGCCAAGAGGTGAGGCTGAGGAGCCTGACGCCAAGGGAGGCCCGGAAAGAAAGAACTAGAAACCGGGCCTTCTCAAAGCTCATGTTTGCAGCCCCTAGACCTGCACAGACCCACACCTAATGTCCAGGTTTTGATTTATATAGGGCTGAAGAAAGGGTCCCAAAATCAAAACAGAATGTGGCTGTCTGGGCACCATTGGTATTTGGGTATGCATGTGTGGTTGGCTTGCATGAGCAGCAGGAGCTGGAGATGAAACTGGGACCTCTTTGCCTGTCAAAATTGCTCAGACTAGTATCACAGAGCCCCATATTCAGCTTAAGAATGCTTACTCAAGATCCTTGTCACCAATTCTACTGCCAAGCCAAGTATCATTTGCCCTATCTTCTCCATGTACTTTTGGTTTCATAGACACTTGCACACCTAACACTCCTTAGCTTTATATTAGCCTTTGATGCATTTATTGTGTTAGGCGGTACCATGTACATATGAAAGAACACCCATACGGTCAGGTTGCCTTGCATGTCACTGAAGTCATCTTATTTCCAGCTAATGACTATGGCCCACATAGATTAATAAGGCATTTTCAGATATCCATGCTTTCGTTAGTTATTTTCCGTTAGTTCCACTTGCCAAACCAATTTTAAATTTTCAAGGGAGTAAAACACACGTTCTTGAGTCTCAGCACATATGGATCATGGCCAATGAATTTTAGATTGAGGTGTTAATGACATTGGAAGGAAAATCTTCCCTTTTGAAATGCCAATTTAATTAACGGTGCTAAAGCCTGCTCTAGGCCAAAATTATCATTGATGTAAGAGGCAGAAATACACACCTGTCTCCAGAGCAGACAGTGCCAGCGACGCTAAAAGTTAAAATCAGCTAATAGTGAAATGATAAGCCCCATCCACAGTATGACGGTGACAAAAAGAAATTACACAGTCATCAAATGCTAACTTGGTAACAGTAACTCTAGTAAGTGTGTAATTATTAATTATACCATTTTCAGTGAGGTAATACAGCAATTACCCCATTGCTTCCATGGAAAAACAGTAATTTCACTATAAAAAAGACTTAAAATTACATCATTATGCTTTCTTCTATATGAAAGATAATAAAAGGGGCAACTGGTACATAGATTGGTATGGACATCAGCTGTGGACCAGGAATCTTAAGAGCAAGAGTTCCAACAGCAGAAACCTTTCAACTGGTTGCATGCCTTCATGCATAATAAATCAAGCTGACTACAATCAAAACCAACATTTTCAATGCTAGTTCACCACACCTATAACACAAAACAACCTTCCTCAACCAGGGTTCCTCCAGGTATAGCTGGACTCCACCCTGTACTGCCCTGACTGTGCTTGCTGAAGAAGATGGCAATGATTTTGTTAGGTATTGTTCGGATCAAACAAAACAATGCGATCCAACTTTCAGGTTCTCTAGAACTATGAATCTACCCAGAATGTATTAAAAAATGGGTATCGAGGAAGAAATCATTTCCCAAAAATGAAACTAAAGGATGATGATGTTGATGATGGTACTGTGTCATCAAGTCGATCCTGACTTATGGCAAACCCTTTGCAAGGTTTTCTATATAGTGAATTTTTAATTAATTGATTGCACTTATAGCCCACTTTCCCACTAAAAATGAGTGTGCACGGTGGCTCATAGACCTTTAAAATAAAAACATATAAAATAATGCTTAGCAAGAAAAAAATTATATCAACTAGTGCTACCCTAAAAGCAACTACATTTAAATAAATACATCAGAAACCATTAAAATGCACAAAAGATAGAGATTAAAAACAGCACAGCAGGGCTGGGATGAGTACTCAGAAGTGTTTTGGCATTTCCTTCTTCTGCTCTGGAACTTTGCAGCTTGCCCAGGGCCACACAGGATGGTTCTTCTCTTGAGAGGCACAGTGAGGAAGGGAATTTTGACCTCTGGCTCCAAGTTCCTAATATGTATTTCTGCCCATTAACATGTTTTCACTTTAGCAAAGGGATTTCTTCAGGGATACATGCCATTGAGACACCTCACCAAATATGTTCAACTGCTGCCAGATTATGATTATGATTATTAATACCCACGAGGATTCTAGTATTTTCATTTCACTTGGAATGTGCTAAAAATCAGCATGTCTCATTTTCATAGATTAAGTCTACATATCTTTAAAAAATCTGATTAAGTTCTTAAAATTCATTTCCCAACAAAAGACAGCCATCCATTCTTACACTTGGTAACTTACTGATCTATGCGTTCAAGGAAAAGAAACACATCCTGCAATAGGGAAAGTCATATGTTTTATGGCTTTTAGAAGGCACTCTAGTTCATTCTATTAAAAGTATTTATTTTATTAAAACTCTTCTCAGTTATATTGCTTAGTGCTCATTTATCAAGAGAGGTTGCTCCAGGCAATATATCTGTTATCCACATCATTTTTATGTGCCAGCATGGTGTCGTTGATAGAATTATGGCCCAGGGCTCAAGAGACCTGGATTCAAATCCCTGCTCAGCCATAGAAACTCATTGGGTGGTAGTGGTCAAATCCTTCCTTAAATACTTCACTTTCTTGAAAAAACTGCTAAAGTTTATCTAAGCTGTATGAAGCTTGACAGCACGTAACACACACAAAGTTAAGATATGCTGATATAGTACAACAGGAAAGGCTTTGAGTGCATAGATCTCAGTTTCTAATTTCACTTCTGACTTAAAAGCTGCTATGTGATCTTAGGCAAACCACTAATTAGATAATTCATTACTTCATTATACAGCACACAATATGTCAGTGATACTCCTGATATAACTTACTCAACTATAACTTTCCCATTTGTACATAACAATAGACTGATTTAACTCATTGGCTAGAATCATGTTGCTGTAGTTCTATGTGCTTATGATCAATAATGTCATGCCTTTTATCGTTAATTAAAAGTGTTGTATTCCCACCCCCAAGGTTCTGATGGTCCCTATGGATCCCTTTTGACCTGGGGAAGCCTCTGGGGCCCTCAGGATGGGAGGGAAATTTGTAGACATAAAAGACTCCTCCTCCTGATGCCCCCAAAGACTCCCCCAGATTGAAAGGGATCCCTAAGGAGCCTCAGGACATGAAGAGGAGGAATAGGAAACTTTTAATTAAAGATAAAAGGCTGTGGCTGATAATGACATCAGCCATACACATGTGGAGCTACTCCAACAGGATTCTAGCAACTAATTCGCTGTAAGTAATTTGCTATTTAGGAAGGAAGTAATGCCTCAGGCTATTCTGTGTAGCCAAAATGCTACATGAACATATACTTCTCTTCTGTATTATCACTGAGCAGAGTAGCACTGTCTTCTTGTCCTTGACAAGCACCACTTAAGATTATTTAAATTTAGCCATGGAAGTCTTTAATTATGTAAGATTAGCAATGGAAGTCTTGGATTATGGAGAATTGTTGCATTTATGATCTATGCTAAAACAAATTCAGGAAAAAAATTGTGAAGAGGAAAAGTTTTCTTGCTCACATGAAATCTGGATGACTTGCTCATATGTTATATGATCGCCAAACTAATGCAGAAGAAAGTACACTAACAGTTCTCCTGAGGAGTCAAAAATTATGTAATGTCCACTCTTAAGATGCCAAATTTCTATCAGCTGCCTCATGGATAATTTACCACTAAAGCCAAAACCAACTTGAACATTTCAAGTTAATTTTTAAAATTTATTCATTGTACTGTTACCCTGCCTTATAACCAGAACTCCCTGGATAGTTTATAAGTATATTTTTAAAACCTTTCTTAAAAGATGTAAAGTCAGAATAAACTAACACAAGACAGAATATCTCATAACGTTGCAATGCAAGCTTTAAAATGATTGCCTTACCAGGATCAAACTGCACTAATCTTGCTCTACTGTGCTTAAAGTCCATGCCACGTCTAGCTGACACTTCTTCAACCTTCAAAACAATAGCATGGTATTAAGTAGATACACAAGATATGGTTGCATTATTGTTGATTTTGTATAAAATCCCATGCACTAGGGTTCTTAAAAAGTTGTACTGAATGAATTGTGGGCTATTTTCTGACCACAGTAGGAATTCCAATGCATTGAGAGTAGGGTTAGAATTGTGTTTGAGACTTTGTTGTTGTTTAGTCGTTAAGTCGTGTCCAACTCTTCGTGACCCCATGGACCAGAGCACGCCAGGCCCTCCTGTCTTCCACTGCTTCCCGGAGTTTGGCCAAATTCATGTTGGTTGTTTCGAAGATACTGTCCAGCCATCTCATCCTCTGTCGTCCCCTTCTCCTCTTGCTGTCACACTTTCCTAACATCAAGGTCTTTTCCAGGGAAATTTATCTTTTCATCAGATGGCCAAAGTAATGGAGCCTCAGCTTCAGGATCTGTCCTTCCAGTGAGCACTCTGGGTTGATTTCCTTCAGAATTGATAGGTTTGTTCTCCTTGCAGTCCAGGGGACTCTCAAGAGGGGCTTAGACTGTGCAAATATATCTCTTGGATTTTTCAAACCCCCTAAAGAAGAAATTTTGATTTCACCCGAACAAGGACAACCAATTGGCAAACAGAACATATCACTTCAGCTTCAGTATATTATCATTTAATGAAAAATGATATGGAGTGTATTTCTTCCAGTGTATGGTACTGACTAGGGCAAAAATATGCTGAGGTGGGACTTTTGGATTTTGGGGATTCTAACTCACAGAGTTCTCTAGGAATTCACACCCAGAAACAGAAGTCTACAGCTGCAGACTGCCTTCTTCAGCCTGTTTCCTGAGAGTTGTAGATCTTCCTGGGAGACATGGTTCTTTTGAAGGAGCCCTCTATGGGCCCTAATGGGCAGCAAGATTAACTCTCTCAGAAATACCTTGGACTCCCAGGTAGCAGCTGGACAGCTTCCTTTTTATATAGGAAACACGGGCCTGGGACAGCCAAGCTTTTAGATAGGCTGTCCTATCTACATTGAGTGAAATGTAGAGCTTCTGTAGCTGTCTGTAGGCAAGGGTCTGTGGGCTGGAACTCCCAGGGGATTATTGGAGAATTCTGGAAGTTAGAGTACTATCCAAACCCCAATCAAACAACCAATGACACATTTCCAAAGGCAAAAATTCAATAACTCCTCCCCCTGTCCCGACTGTTTTTTGTTTCTAAACAACAACATCTCAAGGTGAGGAAGAAATGGGTTTTAGTAGCTTAAAAGAAAATAAAACATCTAACACATTTGCTGTTCACAGATGAAGAGGGGAGAAAATCTAAGCCATTCTAAGAGAACAATCTATAAATACTGGACCTTCCTCCCAATATGTCATGAACTGCTGTTTAGTGACATTTGGAAACAGACTGTAAAATATTGGCGTATACTGTAGTTAAATAGATGGTATGTACACAACATTTATGACTGATGCATGCAATTTTAATGTTTTTCAGACATTATCTCATGGATAATGTACAATCATTAATAACTATGGTACTATCTCTTTCTTCTTTTTAACAGCTTCTGAAAAAGTCTCTGAAATAAATTTGCCAAAGTGTTTTTGTGTGTGAATAAAATGTGAATAAAATCACATTTAAAGATGTGAATAAAATCATTTCCCACCCACCCCCATCTTGAGATTTTGGTCTCTCTTTCAGATTAAGACCAGCACTCAGTGTGTAAGGGTTAACAGAAATCTGCCAATATGTAATTGATTTTGTAGCTCACCTTTATTCCAACAAATGATGGTTCAGCACTTTCACCTGTTCTTAGAATTTTGATAGGAAGGGATCCAACATTTTCACAGATACGATAGCATGTTTGTGCCAGTTCTATACGGGACCATCTTAATTCAAGCCTATTGTTGAAACAGAATTCAAATGAAAACATTATATGGAAAACATAGAGATACTGTGTCTATAATTAAATGTAATGTGCACTAATTAATAACAGTGTCTCCATTTTAATACTTCCAGTATCTGTCCAAAAAATTAATGTGAGGTGGAGGAGAGATTTTCCTGCTTCTTCAAGCAATCTTTCAAAAAACCTAAAACACAGGAATTAAGGTTATTTTTTGCTCTTCACAGGGGCATGTTTATTTATTTGTTTATTTTTATAACCTACTGTATTACTCAAGTTCTTCTTCAGTAAATTAGTGCTACTACAGACAGCAATTTTCAAAATTTTCACAGCTGCCTTGACATCATATAAGAAGAGAGATAGTGCTAGTAGTATCAGAGTATGATGGTGTCTAACCTCAGAAACCCAGTTGACTACCTCCAGCTTCTTTTGCTTCTGCTTCTGCTAATGCTGCTGCTACTACTACTGCATTCATAGAACTGCAGAGCTAGAAGGGACCCTAAGGATCATTGAGCCAAGCCTCTATCAAGGAGGTACAGTGAGGAATCCGGGCTTCTTGGCCGTGTCCTCTATCAAGGAGGTACAGTGAGGAATCCAACTACCAACTGCTGGCTTCAATATCTAAAGCACTGAGCTATCCTGGCCGTGAAAGCCTTCGCAAATACACTGAGCTATCCATTAGTTGTAAAAGCTGCAGAATCTGCTGACTCCTTTTGTCCTAAGCTACAGAACTCTCTCTTTATTTTTACAATTGATGAATTCCCTTCCTCATTTCCTCTCCTGATGTATGAACAGGCACAGATTTAAGAAGCCATGATAGTGGTTTATGTATTCTGCTTTGAGATTAGGGTAAATAACAATAAGAACAAGAAGCAATAAACAGGTTTGCAGGCTCCACTTCATAATGCAAACTGTATCCTTTCTTCTTGAAATACAGCCTCCTAGTCACTTCTTCCTTGCCTCAGAGGCAGCAGTGCTGTACCTTGTAAGGATTTAAAATCATTGTTTTACAACATTTGCTTCTCCTCCCCCCTTTACAATAGGCATGTTAAAATATAGGGGATAGCAAACAAAGAGTGGGAAAGAGATGAAATCGGCGAAAAACACTTGCTTAGGTAGTATTTTCTTGGGCCTTTTAAAAACTGTGGCACAAGATGAGGAGTTGAAAGGGAGAGGTTCCTACTCACTTCAGAGACACCCATCTTGGGGAGTTAATAGCAAGGCCTGACATATCTGCTAAGTATGTGAAAAAGAAACCAGCAGTGATAACAGCATCCTTATAAAAGCAAATCAGTGAACGAGTGCCTTTGGTCCTTCAAATTAACTCATCTAGGCAGTCTGTTACAGATAATTCTTTCATTGTGCTGTTCCTGTATCATCCATACCTCTGCTGCTAAGACTTGCACCCCCCCAAAAAAACAACAACACACGAGTATTGTTACCAGTGTGCAGCTGGGTGTTGCATGTAAATATCATCTTGGGGTGAAGGAAACTCCAACTCATATAACTTCCTCTTATTTGTCATGAGAAATGGAAAATGGGTTGGGTTCTGATATTATTTGCCCTAGTTACGGCCAGGATCCACTGGTGTACCTCCGCTGAATTCATTTATTTCTAATAGAATCAGTATGTTCTCCCTCCTACCTGTAAACCCTAAAAAACCTGCTCTGGGGAGTTAGGAAACCCTGTGGAATGTGTTTTCTTGTCATAAGAGCCTATAGCAGTAGGGCAAGAAAGTCCCACTTCTGCTAGCATTAGATACTTAAGAATATCACAGTTAGAACTTGGTCATCTTAAGATTCAACATAGGCTGTGGTACCAGGAAAACTTTCTTCTTTCAGTAACATTGCTAAAATTAGTGGGGATATGTTGTCAATTCACATCTCTGCTAACAATGTTGTCACTTCATATTTGTTCCTTTCTATTTCTAGCTTCCCATTCTCTCATTTTTCTCCCCCCCCCGAGAAAACAGTTGCAGTCACTACTTCTAGGCAGTTGAACCTCTTGCTAAAATAAGGCTCAAGATGGCTCTTTCCTCTCCCTTCACTTCCTGTATATTGACATAAGCAATAACCAACTGGGGACTACAAACCAAAAGCACTAAACCTTCATAATATGTTGCGGTTTTCAGAAATCAACCATATCTATTTAGTACAATGGTTGTCAACACTGGTAACCCAGGTGTTCTTGGACTCCAACTCTCAGAAGGCTTCACCACCCGCTGTGTTGGCCAGGGTTTCTGGAAGTTGCAATCCAAGAACATCTGGGTTACCCAAGCTTGAGAACCACTGTTCTAGTACGATGGCTCTCAATGTTTAGGCCTATAGATGTTTTGGACCAGCTTCCAGAATCCTTGATTGTAGGTTATGCTAGCTATAACTTCTGGGAACAGAAGTTTACAAATGTATGGAATACCAAAGACTGAGAATAACTGTTCTAGTATAATGTTAATAGACAGAAATCACTCCAGCAATGTTGAAACACCAAACCTCAATAAAACTGAAATGAGTCAAATACTTTAAAGGACAGATGGATAGGTCTTCACATATTATGCCTTTAGAAGTCTTTTCTCATAAAGTATACTGACCCTGACTCTTGACACTTACATCTCTGGAACAATCGTGTTGCCTGCTGCATCTGAAACTTCAAATTCAAAACGATCTGACGTTACCTCAATGGAAGGATTTATGATGTACCGAATGTTATCTTGGTTTAAATCATCCTGAGTGAATGAATTTTGCAGAAAACCACCTATGGGGGGAGAGGGGGAGAGCAACAGTATACAGAACACATGGATTATTCTATGCAGGAATGTCAGTGATTGTTTTGTGAAAATTGCCTTGCCTTCATGACAAGACATATATCTGCAACTCCAAACACTTTGAAACTCAAATCATTTAAAGCTGTCCAATCTTATTCAAGATAATGACTTCCATCATGTTAAAAATGACAGCTTGGAGACAAGGCAACTTTTCAAACAAATGTTTTAAGACAGTGTTTTAGGCTGAAGAGGCTGGCAAATGTTAATTACATTATTAGATAAACAGTGAGTCATGTAATTGCTGAGCTGTACCAGCAAAGAAGTTTGCTGGAAACAACGGAGTCCCTTATGCATTTATCTTTAATGTAAATGCCACACACTCATATGTAAATTACACTTTTATACAATAATAACATTATATTGAGTTTTACAGGACACTGCACATGTTACTATTTTGAAACATTCTATTATTTTAAGGGTACGAGAACCTATTCTTTTGCTGTTAATTTTATTTTCCCCATCTTCCCACAAAGGATTCAGGGTGAAGTCCATGCAGCCGGGTGAAGTTAGCTACTTCAGGTCGCACCTTAAGAAGGGAAGTTTTAAGTTCCTCAAGAGCAGCTGAAGAACTTACTGCTGTTGATAGAATATACATATTCACCTGATTCAGCATTTTCTCCTGCTAACAAGAGCAGTCCCTGAGCAGAGAGATGGACAAGACATTCTGGCAGGTAGGAAGGAAACAAGGTGATTTTTACCTGTCCCCTCACAGGGCATTGCACAGATGGAGACCTCCTTCCCTGTTCTGCCAATGGAAATGTTTTAGTGGGACAGGAAATCTTCAACAGACATACCTCCACTCTTCATAAAAGCTGTGAGAGCGGAAAGTCATTTCAGCTCTGCCTCCACAAATGGCTACAGACTGAAGAAAACATCTCCTGAATATTTTGATATCTGGAGAGTTTCATAAGAAGCGAGGTGGACTGTAGATACACAAGCCTCAAGCAACAGTTAAAACTGAATTGGGACCAGTAAGCAACTGGCAACTAGTGCTGGTCTTTTAGTGTTTCAGACACAGGACATATACAATTCCAGTTTGCAGTCTATCTGTACTAATTAAGTTGGATCATTTTTAAAGATAGCGCCACATACAGCATATTGTAGGAAAGTTGCTATATAACTAGGGTATGAATGACTGTTGCCAAGTCAGATTGACACAGGGAAGTTTGTTGTTAGAGGCTGCCAGCATTGCCAGCTACTAACTGGAACAAGTTCATGGCTGCTATAACAGACAAGAAATCATGAAACATTCTTGACTGAATGGCCTCAGAAGGAATGTGGACGCTCCCATTCTGGCTGGTTCAGGAAGGGAGACTGTTGGACACAAGGATATATACGTATACTTTCCAAGAAGCAAGTCTTGCTGAATTCAACAGGACTTGTTTCCTGCTACATGCATATGTGTACTGTATATAGGACTGTTCTATTGCAAAGTTCTACCTTCTTTTGGGTTTTCCAGATACCCAAATAAGGGTTGCCGTCGAACACTAAAGATGATTTCTTCATCTCTACTATTATCATCTATGACTTTCAAGTTGCGAACTGTGATAGGAACGGCAAATCTCCCATCTCTGAGGTTTTGTATGGTGGTTGGACTTGTCTTTATGAGAAGTTTTGGTGCCATTCTATCTTTAGTTTCAATCTGTGAAAGAAAAACATAGTGTTCTTTTATACAACTTATTAAACTTGAATGTTATATGTAAGACACAGATTTGAATTTTGCATCACTTAAAAATTGATTCGGACGCCAAACTATATGACACGCTTAGCGCATCATTAGCAGTGGAGCTCCCTGAAATAGTAAAAGGCATCAGACTATCCTAGCATGACTGCATTTTACAAATCAGCTTTTTTTGAAGGTGCAGTTTCTTGTCTGAAGATAAATATGAGCTTTATTTGCAAGTCTAATTATCACTGAATGAACAAACTAAATGTGATTAAATATATGGACTAAATGTGACAGGTCTCTCTCATGACTCCTCTACCAGATGGCCAATGAAGAAATCAAATAATTGCACAATTGGAAGGAGTGGGTGGAGAAGCGGCATTCTTTCCACCACATCAAGACTATGAGCAGATTGTGACAATGATCATGGATTGTTAATGGCAGAAATTAGAGTAAAATTGAAGAAAAACAAAAGAATCATGGTGGCAAAATATAATTTAAATAGCATTTTTACAAATTTAGACAACACATAAAGAAGAGATTTACACCACTAAACTCAATTGACTGGGAACTAGAAAAATTGTGGATTGAAACTATAACTGTTATCAGGGAAGAATGCAAAAGTCCTGCAGGAAAAACAAAAGACCAACACTAAATGACTCCTTGAGGAAAGTCTTAAAATTATTATGGACAAGTAGCAAAAATAAGAGGAGACAATGACTATCACATAGGCAGGAAGAAACCTATTACAGTAATCAGTGCAAAGACATAGAAGAGAGCAATAAGGGAGTAAAAACAAGAGATGTCTGCCATATAATTCAAGAAGTCAACGGGGCATTTAAATATAAATTAGGAATGCTGAAATACAACAAAGACATATACTATCTGATCTGGGTATAATAAAGAGAAGATGGAAACAATATAGTGAAGAGCTATACAGAAAAGATACAAGGATTATAGATTTCTTTGAAGAATATTCCTGCTGAAGCATACTAAAGAATGTCATAAGAAAATCTCTTTCTCTCTCTGATGTATAGATTGCAAGAAAACCTTTGTGTTGAACAAGATATGGACTGTTCTCAAAGAAATAGGTAAACCTGATGCACAACCTGTACTCTGAACAAAACAAACAAACAAAAAAACCCCACACAACCTGCTGTTATAACAGCATTTGGAGAAAAGGAATGGTTTCCCATAAGCAAAAGTGTTGAATAAATGCATTTTATCTGTCTGTTCAATCTGTATGTAAAACATGACATATGGAAAGATGGATTAGATTCTGTTGAAGAAGTTGAGATTTGTGGAAGAAATTTCAAAAATCTAAAACATGCAGATGATACCATATTCTTGGCAGAAACAACAATGACAAAATGACTGTTGATGAAGGTGAAAGTGCCAAAGCAGGACTGCAATTGAACAATAACAGACCAAAATTCTTGTTTACAGAATTACATCACTTCAATGTTGACAAGGAAGAAATTGATATTGTTAAAGATTTTGTACATCTCAATTCAATCATCAATCCAAACAGTAACTGGAGCCAAGAAAGCAGGTGAGTAAGACTTTGAAGCATGTCTAGAAAAGAACTAGAAAAGATGCTCATGTGTAAGGATGTGTCCCCGGAGAGCAAGGTGAAGATCATTCACACTATGATGTTCCCAAGTATTGCATAAAGTTATGAAAGCTGGGCAATGAAGAAAGATGACAGGGGAAGAAATGATTCATTTGAAATGTGTGTTGAAGAGAGCTTTGTAAATGCTGTGGACTACAACAAAGATAAATAAGTGGGTTCACGATTGAATCAGATCTGAACTCTCCCTGTTGTTGTTTAGTCATTAAGTTGTGTCTGACTCTTCGTGACCCCATGGACTAGAGCACGCCAGGCCGTTCTGTCTTCCATTGCCTCCCGGAGTTCGGTAAAATTCATGTTGGTAGCTTTGGTGACACTGTCCAACCATCTCGTCCTCTGTCGTCCCCTTCTCCTCTTGCCTTCACACTTTCCCAACATCAGGGTCTTTTCCAAGGAGTCTTCTCTTCTCATGAGATGGCCAAAGTATTGGAGCCTCAGCTTCAGGATCTGTCCTTCCAGTGAGCACTCAGGGTTGATTTATTTCAAAATGGATAGATTTGTTCTTCTTGCAGTCCAGGGGACTCTCAAGAGTTTCCTCCAGCACCACAATTCAAAGGCATCAGTTCTTCAGCGGTCAGCTTTCTTTATGGTCCAGCTCTCACTTCCATACATCGCTACTGAAAAAACCATAGCTTTGACTACGCAGACCTTTGTCGGCAAGGTGACGTCTCTGCTTTTTAAGATGTTGTCTAGGCTTGTCATCACTTTCCTCCCAAGCAGGCGTCTTTTAATTTTGTGGCTGCTGTCACCATCTGCAGTGATCATGGAGCCCAAGAAAGTAAAATCTGTCACTGCCTCCATATCTTCCCCTTCTATTTGCCAGGAGGTGATGGGACCAGTGGCCATGATCTTAGTGGGGTTTTTTTTATGTTGAGTTTCAGACCATTTTTTGTGCTCTCCTCTTTCACCCTCATAAGACGTTCTTTAAGTCCTCCTCACTTTCTGCCATCAGAGTGGTATCATCTGCATATCTGAGGTTGTTCATATTTCTTCCAGCAATCTTAATTCCGGTTTGGGATCCATCCAGTCCAGCCTTTCACATGATGTATTCTGTAAATAAGTTAAATAAGCAGGGGGACAATATACAACCTTGTCATCATACTCCTTTCCCAATTTTGCGCCAATCAGTTGTTCCATATCCAGTTCTAACTGTTACTTCCTGTCCCACATATAGATTTCTCGGGAGCTAGGTAAGGTGGTCAGGCACTCCCATTTCTTTAAGAACTTGCCATAGTTTGCTGTGGTCCACACAGTCAAAGGCTTTTGCATATCAATGAAGCAGAAGTAGATGTTTTTCTGGAACTCTCTGGCTTTTCCATAATCCAGCGGATGTTAGCAATTTGGTCTCTAGTTCCTCTGCCCCTTCAAACTCCAGCTTGTACTTCTGGGAGTTCTCAGTCCACATACTGCTGAAGCCTACCTTGGAGGATTTTGAGCATAATCTTGCTAGCATGTGAAATGAAAAAAATGATGAAAATAAGTATATTGTACTTTGGACATATCATGAGAAGACAAGACTCACAGGAAAAGACAATAATGTTGGGAAATGTTGAATTACTTACATGCCATCAAGTTGCTTCTAACATACAGCTAACCTTTCCTGTGTTATTTTGAAAGTTATCACTGTGAGGAAATAGGAGGAAATTGGGATTTGTAGTCATGCAGAGATGAAGTCTGTTAGGTTCTGTGTAAGATGAATTTAAAAAACAATGAAATATTCTCTTGAGATTATTGTGCAGAGTTGCTTTGCCTGGCAGGAAGATAAGGAAGCATGGCCGAAGAGGCCCAGTGGAAGACGGAACAGTATACCACTTAATTGGGGAAAGATAAGCCACCTGGACTTGGGATCTTCTCCTGTGAAATGTGGGCAGTGAACTGTGTTACACCCACTTGGACTTAATTGGTCAACAACTGAAAGGCGTAAGAAAGAGGGAGGTCTGAAGACGTGTAGAAAAATGGTTGTTCATGTATGTGATGATGTTCATGGTTGGTTTGTGAATGTAGTGGAATGTGAGAAGTTTGTCTGGTGAAGGAGGGGGGAGAAACAGCCCAGCCTGTAGATGCTAACATGTAGTGAGAACAAAAATGATTACTTAGCTTATTTTTAGTTGTTCTTGTTTTACTTAGAAATAGTGAACTTTTTTAATCATTGTAAGAGATAGATATGCCTAATGCTTATGCCTTAAAGCTACAACTGTATTCTAATGAAACACACCTACAGTAAATCCAGTGAGGATTTGAGAAGGTCAATAGTTGCTACTGTAAATTGAGAGGTCCTATCTGGCAAGGCTGTTTTGCTGTCAAAGGAAGCACATAACCAATGGTTTATTCATTTTGAAAGTAAGCAAAGGTTTCTTTTAAGGTGAGGCTTGTCCATGAGGCCCTTTGAAAGTAAGCAAAGGTTTCTTTTAAGGCGAGGCTTCTCCATGGGGCCCGTACTACGCACCTCTGAGGCCTAAAGGACCTACCTCAGGCAATAAAGGTGGTAGTTTTGTGCCCACAATGACTCCCTGACCAAGATCATTACTCTTTAGGTTAATGATCTCTTTAGGGAGAGGTGATCACGACAATCACCTTCTTCTGGTGCTATTCCAAGACCATATAGCTTGCCCAAGTCTACACAGGCTGGCATTTCTCTCAGGAGACAGATGACAAGAAAACAGAAAGACCGAAAGAGAGACAGACTGATTCAATAAAGGAAGCCACAGACCTGAATTCCCAAGAGCTGGTCAGGGCTGTTGACAACAGGAGCTTCTGCAGGCCATTAATTCATTGGGTTGCCATAAGTCAGAAGCAACTTGATGATACGTAACAATAGGGATAGGGATGGGAAAAAGTGACATTATCTAACAATTTGATGTGAACATTCAGTGTTAAATTGCCAAGAATGTTGGTGAATAATGTGGCAAATGAGGACAGGGGCCAATGGTAAACACATGAATTGAGGCAACGGACCTTTACTTTACAGAAGATGGGGGCAAACTGTTCCAATTGCTCCCCCAGGCAATTCTACAGCTTTGCAATGTTACTGAGATGTGCGGCTTGTGCAAAATTGCAAAACATGGCAGGACAGGCGTCCCCAACCATGTCTATGAAATGATCAGGCAATCTCTCCTTTGCTGCTCTGCAAACTCTGTTCAGTCCTAGGATCCCAATGAAATCTGTTTCATTTGGTATGGGAGTCTCCTTAAAGGCTAACATGCAGGTTACCCAGCCACCACAGCTCCAACAGCCACATTCTGAGCAATGGCAGGGCAACCTAGCAGTGCTATCACAGGTTTTACTTTTAATAATTTTTGTTTGTTTTATAGCTGTACCTTACCTTCTGGAATCTCACAGCAGACAATACTTTTAAAATTACACAGCCACCAAATTCAGCTTCTCATATGTCACCCTCCTCAACTCAACAGCCCGGGGGGGGGCATCACACTCACACAAGTGTAAAGCCAACCTTGGCTCCAGTTAGGTAGGCAGACAGCAATAAAGGAAAACATATCTTCAATGTGTTTATACCTGGAAAAGTAGCTTTTTATAATGTTTGGTAGTGCACTCGTGACGTGGAAGGTTTTACAGGTCACATTCTCAGGATCTCCAATATTCTCAAGTAATAGGAGAGAACACAAGGATACAGAGAGCCTTGGTAGTGCAGTGGTTGAATGGCAGTAATGCAGTGAAAACTCTGCTCGCAATCTGGGTTCGATTCTTGGCTTTAGATAGCCAGCTCAAGGTAGACTTGGCATTCTATCCTTCCAAGGTTGGTAAACTACCCAGCTCACGCAGAAGAGAGACAATATGTAGCTTTCATAATTAAATTGTAAATTGCCCAGAGAGAGCTTTAAGCACTATGTGGTGGTATATAAGCAGCACACTTTGCTTTGTTTTTACAGTTAGAAGTTATATTATGATGGATTGCAAGTTGCTGACTATGACTGGAGAAAACAATGCAAGAAGACAATTTATGAAGGGAAAGAGAATAGAAAGCATTTCTGAGGATTCAAGAGAAAAAAAGAAATGGTCAAAGTGTTCCATCCTCCTACAGCTTCAGTCATGCTCTTCCAAGCATTCAGGTGACTGGCAGTTTCATTCTGAAATTAGACCAGAGAAGGGGAATGAAGGTATTTCGGTCCACTGTTATGATGTGTGGTCCCCAAAGAAGGAACAAAGCTGCCCTCCCTGTCGACAACAGTGTAATTCAGCCAAGTGTTGAGTTTTATACCACGGAGATGCTCATCTATCCAAACTTTCTTCACCTGTTCTGATAATTCACCCTCCTCTGGGAAATACACCTTCATGCCACTGTCCAACCAATTAGCTGCTTGACTGACTGCATTCTGCAATCCTTAAGTGATGGTTCCCTATCTGACATCTTATGACAACTGATTAGTAAACTAGGCCATGAGTTTTAAGAAACATGCAATTTAGGAGCTACTTCCCATTAACTCTTTATCTTCCAAACCTGACAACTCTTCTAAAACTGCATCGCCAATTTTAATAAGGGATGAAGACAAGCTGGCAGAGTGCCATTTGCCCAATAAGCTGGAAAGCTGAGGCTGCACACTTATTCAGGTGTAAGTTCCACTGAGCTCAGTGGGGTCTATGTCTGAGTAAAACTGCAAAGGATTTGCTGTAGGTAGACAACAATAAACGGAAATCCCAACTCAAACATTTCTTAAAATACAAGTTGCTCCCAGGGCTGCTCAATTAGTCTTGACAACATGGTTACATAAAATATACCTTTGCAGATAAAATAGGAAGAATAAGTGAATATCTAACTGGGCTTTGCCAGAGCATCCTATGAGGTTTAGGAGAGCTTTTGACCATAGTTAGTACAGTAGTAGCAAGGGAGCAGTTAAATGTCATTTAGAATTTGACTGCATTTGGTCGGGAACACACGCTCACATGAGAGCTGGTCAAACCAATCTTTCCGAAACACTGATTTCTGAACTTTTGCCAGAGGTTCCTCTCTCTGGTGGCCACCGTAGGCTGATTTACCAGACATGTTGTTAAGCCTCTCAGTCCTGAATAAGCAGATAAATGTGTATCCAACATTGGAGAGTAGGTTTAAAGGCACAGAGCTAAATTTCACAGATAAACAGGAGCACTGAAAAACACAGCAGATGTTTTGTGAACAGATATCAGTGGAACTCAGGACCAATTCATGCAACCAGTGTAGAACTTCATTTATATATTACTGATCACTCACTTTAATTTTATTTATTGATTTAACAAGTACTGATTATGAATGTCTACTTGGCATCCAATGGGTCTGGACTCTAATTCTGTAACTGCAACTGCAGAAAACTAACCACATGCAGAGGAAGATTCCTGTATCTTTAGCTATTAAACTGAAGAGGGGATTCTGGCAAAAGACAAACAGGTGAGGGGGAAAAGAAACCATCAAAACTGCCCCTTTTGTGTGATTGTTAAAGATACATAATACAAGCCATGTCCTTCTCTGTGTTCATGTGAGTATCCGAGAGTCTAAGTTACCACTTCCGTTCAGTTCTGCCTCCTAGCTGTAAGCCAGGGATCCACAGTGATGTGACAGATAACTGCTACTGGATGCCATATTGGATGGCCTATTTGCCCTTATTTTTACTCCTCAGATGTTAAGAGCCAGCTGTAATCACATAGATGGTTTACTCATGAGAAATATTTACCAGGTACAGAATGAAACTCACATCCTTACATACCTGTATTGTAAAGTCGATGGGGTCATCTCTCAATTCTCCATTGATCAACACTCCACGATTCACTTTGTCTGTAGCTACAAATGAGAATTTATCAATTTGCCCAGCTCCTCCATTATGTATGTAGTACACTTTTGTATCATCCACGTCCAGCTGTGTAAATTGGCCCCAGTGTATAGCCATCTCTTTCATGTACAACTGTCCATGTTGCGGATACTGGGTGATAATATAGGTGAGGTTTTTTATGGGACTATCTACATCAGTAAGCTGAAGAACATCTCGAGTTAAAAATCCTTTGCCCCCTTCTACAATATGGAGACCTTTGTTATGAAGGAGGGTAGGCGGAATCTGGTCAGTATGTTCAATTTTCAGTTCTAGCAGGCCCCTTTTCTCTGTGTGACCATTACTGATGGTAAAACTATTTCAGGAAAAAGAAGAGGCAGGAAGATAATTATTATAAATCATACAATACTTTATTTGTATCACTATATAGAGTTCAACTGGCAGTACTTGCTTTAGGTTTGGCAGGCAAGATGAAATGGCTGATCTCCTTGTGTGAGTGTGACCACCCCTATTACTACTCTTGACACTGCATATTTGCTTGGTTCTCTCCAACAACCCAACAATCAGTTCCACTTCACTGCTCTGTTTCCTTGGTCCTTTCAACATTTGCCTTATGCCTACACCCAATAATGCTGACTTATGGTGCCCATTCTGTGAACTGCAGGATAGCTCAGTGTTTTAGGCATCTGGCCGCAGAGCCAAATGTTGGCCGTTCTATCCCACACTGTGCCTCCTTGACAGGGCTGGATTTGATGATCAATAGAGTCCCTTCCAGCTCTGAAGTTCTAATGCTATTAAGAGAATGGGTTCTGCTATTAAGGAGCTTACAGTCTAGAACCGGGCAGGATGCAGAAGTAGTAAAAGAACCCAGGCTAAGAAGCCTATGCCATCAGCTGTTAAAGGGGCCACCAGCCAACCAGAAACAACGTTATTGTAAGTTTAGTTTCTTTTTTGTATTTTAAAACAGCAAATCACCTTGGATATCTTGGCAGAAAAACTATGTGGCATATATACATTGGCACAACTTCTTTGGTTATATTTCAGTGGGGAGCTGCTGCAAGTCAAAATGTCAGCACAAGCATTTGCTATTGCACATCGACTCAACTTGCATACAACGGGAAATTTCTATACTGACTCATTAACTTCCAGCAATTCCCCACTGAAATGTACATAGTCAACTTGCATACAACGGGAAATTTCTATAGTACTGACTTATTAACTTCCAGCAATTTCCCCACTGAAACGTACATAAATGGAGTTACATCACCAGACATAACTAACAGGATTCTGATGAGTAAATAAAAATAGAGCAAGTGGAGGAGCAGAAAAATTATGAAGAAGTGGAATAGCATCTTTAACTGAAATTAAATGGCAACTGTTCCACCCTGAAAGTGGATTGCAGGATTGAGGGAGGTTAGGCCTGGGCCAGCCAAAGGTTGTGCTTCTTTCACTGCTGCCAGCAGCTGTACTTTCTAAAAGGCAGAATAGGTGCCACTAAATCTCAGTATTTCCATTTAGGTAATTGCAAGAATACAACAATTTACAGAGGTCATGATTTCAGTTGAAAATTTAACTTTTGTACCAGCTTAATTAAAGGCTGAAATCCTAGACATTTACCCAACAGTTTTTGCATTTGTGGAAGCAACTTCCATGACAGTAGGCCCTCTTGCATCCCCCTAACCCCTCAGAAACCTGCTTCCAAGAGCTGAAAATCTGTCCAGAGCATGTCTTGGCATCCTGGGGGTGGGATGGGGAAGCCATTGAGAGAGCAAGGGAAGGCCCCAAATCCCAATGCAATCATGAGCATCACGTTGGATGAATGCATACATACTAATGAGGATGTAGGTTTCATTGATGTCAGCGGGATTATTTGTAAATCATTATGAATAGGCCTATACCTTAAGAGTTAACATTCCTTGTTGTTCTCATCCTGTTTTTTTCAGCACTCAGTGGCCGATGCTTCCCATAACATAACTGCAATTAGCTGGTTATGTTGTGGGAAGCAGGAATCCTCCTCTGCCCCTAGTGGGACTGCCTTGGATCCCCTCACCTGGAGAAAGGTGGCCTATACATGAAACATACAATCAAAGCGTACATGTTGTGAAGAATGGGAAACTGGCATGGAAGTAGGTCTGCCCTTCCTATTGCATGAGGACAGAGGGGGAAAGGGAATTGGGAAATGAAGAAAGAGAACAGAAAAGAAAAGGGGGAGGAAATGAAGTTATGTATATATCTGTTCCTATTTTCTAAGTTTTCTTATGTAAAATTGCTTTTAATTATATTGTTGTCGTTTTTGCTACTGTAAGCCGCCTAGAGTAGTCTTAACTGATTAGATAGGCGGGATATAAATTAAATAAATACATAAATTCATATAGATATAACTGTAACTGTTCAGTTCACTTCAAATAATTGCTTTCACAATATGAAGCAAGTAAGCAGGCATTATATATTAGACAAGAAAAATAAAACAGATGTAATCAAACCTGAATCAACAGAAAGTTGATGGGGCAAACCAAAAATAATTGTCAAATGCAATACAAGCAGTGTACAATTCTATTGGCGCAGGGCACCCGGTGCTGTGGAAACAGACCCTGTGCCAATGTGTGTGGCAAGAGTTGATTTAAATGGTCTAGTTGAAACAAAACTCCTCTCACAGCACCCCATTTGTGTCACCAAGTCCCTTTTTAAGGAACAGAGGATGTGTGTGGCTAAAGTTTTATAAACCTGTGGCCTTGCTATGCAATTCAGGAAATATTCCTTAGTCCTCGAGAGAGTTCTTGGCATGATTTACACATAACATTTTGAAATTGAATCAAAACAGTTCTCAGTGTTTCTGAATGTCGTTCTGTTACCAGAACTGCAGCTGATTTTTCAAGCCATGTTTTGTTCCCTCTGTTGACCTTTTCAGCAGGTTTTAAGGCACACTCCACATTCTGCAATGACATCACCACTACTCTACTGCTGCGTTGCTGCTGAGTGAAGCATTGCACATGAATGGCTGACAGAGCACACAGGACAGTGTTTACAGAAGCAGGAGCCAAAGAGAAAGAGCAGAAGCAGTGACAGAGGAAGCATATAGCATTAAATAGCCTGGGGTCTTGTAGTGTATTCTCTTGAGAAAGTCAAGGATCAGGGTGTAAGGCAGAACTATGAACAGAGTATGGCAGGAATCACTGTTTGCACAGCACGAAACACAGTCTGACGATGGAAGAAGCAATGCCAAAAGTATCAGCAGAATATATATTTCTGGGAAGTGTGTTGTTTTTTTAAAACCTCAAACATAATAAAAAGTGTTTCTTCTGAAACTCTGATTTCTGATCCAAACTAAATTACCCATATTATGAACAATTGGAAAAATGGACTGTCAGTTGGGATCTTCCCAGTTTAAATCTCACTTGTGTTATGAATTTATTGGGTAGTCATAGCTATTACCATCCCTCAGTCCCAGCTTACTATTTTAACACAAGTACAATATTCACCCAGGTGGTTTGGTTTTTGTAATGACTTCTGATAATATACAAGGTGATTTAAGAGAGGTGTGTAAGGCTGAGCCCTACAGCCACTTACTCAAAAGTCACCTATCTTCAGTGGGACTTTCTTCAAAGTAGACGTGCACAGCATGGCACTGATGAGTGCTAAATGCTAAACATTATTTATGCAGAGTAACAAGATTCAGAAATATGCCTCACAGGAAAGCATTTTAATGGAAGACTTTAATTCAGTGGATATTTGCATCCTATTTCCCACCTCAATATACATCTCACATGCTTCCTCTCATCAAAACACAAATTTTCTCATTCAGTTCTTTTTTTAAAAAATACTCAGCACATTAATTAATTGCTTTATAGTTGCTTTCAGATTTTTCTATATGTCAACGTCTACTGTTTCTCCGAGTATTTCTTACACAATAGCACTAAGTAAGGCAAGTGATGAGTCCTCTAAACATTACCTTACTCCCCCAGCATGTTCTATCCGTTCTAGGAGCTAGTGTAGGAAAATGAAGTGAGCTGATAATGTACTGAACTTTGTTACAAATAAGGATTCACATAATATGAGCAGGAAGGTAGCTAAGAACCTGGAATTTTCACTCAAGAAGAGCTTGAACTTACAAGTTTTACACTCAAAAGTGCTCGAAGGTCATTGATCTCATTGTCTAATCCACTAAGAAAAATGGCCTGGGTAGTTAACAACCACTTTCTTTTGCTCGTACTTGATTCTTCATCAAAGTTAAGTAGCTAATGTAATGGAACACAATCAAACCCATAAGAGTTGAACCGGAACCAGCATGGCTGTACACCTTGACATTTACCCTGGATCAGCTGGATGGTTCCCAGATGATCCAGCCACTCCAAATTCTATCACTGTAGGGCCAAAACAGATGATACAGTTGTACGATAGCTTCATAGTCAGAAGGAATTAGGAGACGATAAAATACTGTTTCTGCAGAGTTGCATTCTTCACAGCTATTGTGTTTTATATAAACAGACCCTATTGTTTCTTAAGAAGACCAATAACCAAAAACAAAAAAGCAGGCTAATTTACAACTTGCAAAACTGTGAAAGATGTAAAAGAATAATTGCACAGCTTTTACGAAGTGAGATCTGTTACTAATTGCAATGTTCCCTGTCTCGGTTGTTTCCACCTGCCAAAAGACTGTACAATCCTGACAAATATGTAGTTACAATTTTTTGTGTGTGCATGCAGGATAAATGGATTGCACTGCCTCTTAGGCTATGATAAGAAACAAGCGGCAGGACTTATATACGCCTACCTGAAGTCTGATTTCTATGAGTTGCCATTTGGGCATCTTGTAAGATTCAAATTGCCCTCATGAACAGTACTGTTGGCCACTAGGAAGTTTTGACTGAGCTAGGCTGACCACCATATCCCCTAAGCACCATTTCCTCCTGCAATTATATCTGTAGAGCTTTCCCCTTTTCTATTATGTAAATGAAAGTAAAGCTAAGAACTTGGTGAATCTTTTGTTTGTGCTCATATTCATGTCTTAACATAGCTTCTAGTAATAAAAAAAATGAAAAGGCTAACAAGGATCTCACTCCTGTCAGTGAGATCCTTGTTAGCCACCGCAGTACACTCATTGTTTTCAGTTTCAAATATACTCATTGTTTTCAATTGCAAATCCTTCAATGTTGTAAGCTGCCTTGGGTCCTGTTCAAGGAGAAAGGCAGGGCAAAAATATTTTGAATGAATGAATGGATGGATGGATGGATGGATGAATGAATACTCAGAAGGCTACTCAGAAGAAAGCTATCCTGGCCAAAAGGCTGCTGAGGTTTCATGCATGCACAAGACAAACCATATAAGACACTGCAGCTAACCAAGAAAATGCTGGCT